TACTACATATTGCAGAGGTGCATAAGTGAAAGATTTTAGCATTTGACATTTATGAGCGGTTAGGGTTTTAAGGTTCAGTGTTGAAGAAAGGCTGAGCGTTCGTAATATTTATAGTTACTCTCTGTATGTGCAAACAATTGAGTAGTAAAATCGACCTGATTCCACTAAGCTCTATATCACAGACGTCATGATATGCTTAAATTAGCCAGAGAAAAGCCATTATCTTCTTGTACTTGAGCAATATTCTTGGCAAGAAGACCCACAGCATTCTCAAAGTTATCACGACCAGAACGCCAGCGTGTCCAATACAGTGGTAAACTAGACATGTGATAAATAACACAAGGTTAAGATACTACGATAGTACACCAACCTTTTGTTCCTTTTAGGGCAATAGATAGTAGACGTAGATGCACAAGACCGCACGGGGTAGCGAAGTGTGTAATCAAGTATTCGGGAAATACACGAGAGAAAATGTACAACATGCCCAATGGCGGATGCCGACTCTATGCTTTCATGAGAGCCTAAACCAGGAGTAAGTAAAATCACTACACCTCTTCGTTACCTTCTTCTTTATTTGTTGATTGTGCACCATAAAGCCTACTATTAAATGAATTCCTGAAGTAAAATGACCTATGAGATCCGTCAGATTGAAACTCGAACCAGAACTACATAAACGATCATCTTCGTCTTCATTGGAGGAGATTATACGAACCTAAAACAAAATTAACTAAATTCGTTTTTTCTGTAACCTTAGGCTTTAAACAGGCATGACAAGATACCTACAATGAAATGCAAGATGTCGGAAACCTCTACGAGCAGAACCCGTCTTCTCATTACAGTGGCATTAGTTAAAACATTCAGAACTTTTCTAAACGTATAGATTACAACAACGAAGAAATTTTACAAAAAAAAACTCATTCTATCTGAGTAAATTCTACCTTCTAGCATTGAGGTAAGAAATGCCACGTTCGCAGTGCATATTTAAAGTGAGAAGTCCACCTTGCAAGTCTAGCTGAGCGTTCTGTCACAGATTTTTATATTAACTCAAATCAACTTGAAACGCAGCTATTACCTTTTCATCGACATGCTCACTTGTCTTGGCCACGCTGAGGCGCTTCTTCGTGCAAACTCTTTTCAAGTGCTCTACCGCTTTATATCGACGACTGATAGTGATGCGTAAGTTCTGAATCTCATGAACCTGGAAGGGAACTTGGTTGAGCTGAACCAGAGGTTGACTATATTGTGTTCCAATAAACTAAGACCAGTAACATGTTGTCCATGTGTTACAAAAGCACAACTTCCTCAAGTATGCAAAGGGACCGGAGCTGCGCTGTGCATTGAAACAAACTATTGAGATGCGTCGAACAATATGAGTTTTTACTACAGAATGAGTTAGGTCTTCTCCTTGAAAACTACAATTCAAACGACAAAAAAAAAGATTAAAAACCAACTAACAATTTTATGCGCTTCAACGAAGTGGTAAAGATAGCCACCTTCCTGTAGTTGCCGCTTGTGCTCTTCCAAAATTTCGCGAGTCGACCTTACTGCCAAAACAACTGTCCTCAACCTAGAAAACATTGCAGTAAAGAATAACCAAATAAGATACGAAGGTTTGTCAAATTCGTAAACAAAGTAATATTAGTTTCCAATAAAATTTTAAAGACTATCCTATGCTAAACATTAATATAATAAAAGCTCACTTTTGATGAGTATTGTCAGACATTCCAGCGAAAGTAGAAGTGCAGTGTGAATGATGCCAGGATAATCGCACATAAACGCGCATAAATATGCAACTACGTTACTCTTTTCGCATGAAACTAAAAATTCATGGCTTGGCCTAGGCACATTTTAGATTCACATGGTTTGCAATACTCCATGATAATGACCTCCGCCTAAGCAACGTGGTCCAATTTTATTTAATAAATGAGGGAAAAATAACTTGAGTCTTGTCTTATGGAAGCCTTTAGAGTAAAGTCCTGCAACCAAACAGAAATGGGAGTTCTAACTTGAAATTCGATGATGAAAGCGGAGTAATTCTCTTCCTCACATAAAACATCACATCAACAAGTGATCGAGGTTAAGACCGCCACCTAATCAACTGAAACGTTAGCTGCAATGTGCGAGTTACACCTGACAAAAAGCAAGCACACTAGGGATGTGAGAGGTTGTAAAACAGTGCTAATCGGTCAACAAACATACTTAGGTTTTGGCAGTGTCCAAGCCAAAAGCCACTTCCCAGTCTGAGGGGAAGATACCCGGATGAGATAGTAAATCCGGCAACACCTTTTCCTTGCGATTCTTTATCTTCGCACCACCCACTCAGTAAAAACGGTTGAGTGGCGCGATTTTTCTCGGCTATCAATTTAAATACAGGCTAATAACATAAAAGGCTAGTTTCAAGAGTTTCTACGCTTTTCACGAAAGAATTAAGGGTTTGAAGTACATTGTCAGTTAGATATAGTGTATGGACAGTAAGTGAGCTTGATACTGATTTTGTTGAAGCTACCATCAGAATTTCCTGACTTGCAGCTTTACATAGAGCTTTTGTCTCAATATTATTAAATAAAGCAAACTTGCGCATTTTTTATTGGAAGGC